TATGTTTATATTCTATTTCTGGAAAAATTATACATGTTTTACAGCGAGAGGTTAGAGCATTTGTTAATGAAATGATTTTGAAAAAGCTTTGTTTTTGCCCACTCACGTTTTCTATTTTGTGCCCCCCTTCCAGGTTTTAGGTAGTCTTGTTGTTGGTGGCCTTGAGGATCTTGGCGGTTCTGACAGAATAAAATATTCGTAGGATATCTTCTGGTACTGTATAACTAGTACTTGTCCTACTAGACTGCACCTAGACTTTCTATGGTCTGATTAGGAGTATTTACTTGTATCTCACTCCTAACACTTCATGTTTATAGGTGCACATTAGTAGTTTTCGGTTTTTATTTATTCGTATATTTCTTATCTTTATTGCTTCCGCACTGTGCACATGGCTACGTCACCTTCACGTGACTGCCAACACGCCTCGATCCTGGTCGGGGTGTGTCACCTTTAGTGTTAAAAATGTTAAAATTAGTATATTTATATTTACGGTTAAATTTTTTTATCATAAATTTTTATTTTTAGTTTGTACCTATTTTTAATTTGTACCAATTTTCTTTTCATTTTTAATTTGTACCCATATATTAGTTTCTTTTTGTGCCCATATTTTTTAAAGTTTTATTTGTGTTTGTACCCATGTGTATACCATCACGTGACTTTGTATATTTAATCAATGATAGAAAAATTACATATTGTATACTTATGTTTTATGCCTAAACTTTGTATCATATATTTATATTTTTAGTTTGTACCCACTTTTAATTTGCAACATTTTTTTAAATTTGTAGTATTTTCTTTTTAGTTTTATTTTGTATGCATGTATTAATTTCTTTTAGCACCTATATTTTTTAAAAATTCATTTGTACTCATAATTTTTTAATCTTTTATCTGTTCCCTAATTTATTTATAATATACCCATTCTTCTTTATTAATGTACCACTTTGTTATATGCGAAATGTACCAATTTTTTTAACAATATGGATATATTCTTTTTGACACACCCCTATCAGGAATGTCCACTAGGACTCCGAATCGAGCTGTGCTGGCCGACACCTGGAAGGTGACGTAGCCATAAAGTGTGATGATGACGAAAAATATGAATAAATTTAAACCTAAGAGTGCCTAAATACCAGAGTGCACCGGTGAGCGGGAATGAACCCACTTCACACATGATGTTAGAGCATAAGCAAGTACAGAAGAGTGAATTAAGAATCGTACCCTCGAAATTTATCTCCAATACTAAGAATCACCACGAATCTTCGACGATAAGAAAGCTCAGCTAATAAGACCTGGAGGATGAAGACAAGACAAGGATGAGTGGCCCTGTAAGTAATATTTTAATGGAAACCATATAAAACATTATAGCCCATCTCTACAACACTTTTATAATTTCCAGAAAAATCATAAATATACCACAACACAACATCTCATTAATAATATCAATTAATCATGCGATTAATAACTCATACTAATACGCAAGTCAGAGTCACTTATGATGACCTGTACGACTTACCCACATCTCATCACATATACTAGTTCATCATATATTTCATCATATATGCTAGCTTATCACAAATTCATCACATATACTAGCTCATCACATATTCATAACATATACTAGTTCATCACATATTCATCACATATGCCTGCTCATCACATATTTATCACATATGCTATCTCATCACATATTCATCACATATGCTAGCTCATAACATATTCATCACATATGCTAGCTCATAACATATTCATCACATATGCTAGCTCATCACATATTCATCACATATGCTAGCTCATCACATATTCATCACATATGCTAGCTCATCACATATTCATCATATATGCTAACTCATAAGTCGGAGTCACTTCTAGTGACCTATATGACTTATCCTTATCTCCTCATATATCTCATTAATCATTGCTAGTATATAAGTCGGAGTCACTTCTAGTGACCTATACGACTTATCCATATCTCCTCATATATCTCATTAATCATTGCTAGCATATATGTCGGAGTCACCTATAGTGACATGTACGACTGAAATCATAGCTCATCAATCATTGCTAGCACATAAGCTGGAGTCACCTCTAGTAACCTGTACGGCACTACGCCTGCACACGAGTCGGAACCACTGTAGTGGTATGTACGACAGGATTGGGTGTAAATGAATACCCTCGAGTGCTACGATCACGTGAAAAGTCACCTACGAGTCGGAACCACCTATAGTGGTCTGTACGACAGGCCTGTGCACTTACCTTGAATTCAAGGTGAGCATATAGTGCGGGAGGTGAACATTACGTGAAGGATTGTGCCCTGGCCACGAGCGGGAGCACTAACACCGGGGTGCAGGTTTATGTGCTTTAAATACATCTAATACCACATGTACGACTCCTAAGCAACTTGTACGAAAACGCCGAAGTTGCCTATTATTGCAACCGGTACGACCATGTCGGAGTTACTTAAACATAAATGTAGTCATACTATAACCCCATCAATTCAACTAATACCGTATACTTACCTGAACTTACCTGCTGTGCTCTGCGTTCATTCTTGCACTCCAGAGCATTCACAATAATTATGTGCAAGGAATATATATATATGGATATATCAGGATGTAAATCTAAATTTCAATATTTCCAGATATATAAACACATAAGGTTAATTCTCACATTTTCCACCAATGTCCCTCACATTGTTCAATTCCCCAAACAAGGCTATTGTCCCAATTATTTAGTCTCATTTATTATATGGTTGTATCTAACGTCTTGTTAGACTGCCTACATACCCTAAACAGGGATCAAGTCATTCGTAGTTCACAATAATCATTTATAGTAATACGCATATGGATATATCATGATGAAATCTAAACTCAACCATCTCATAGTATTTTATAACATATAAATATATATATATATATGTCATGGCATAAATTTCTCAGTTTTATTTAAAAGCATTTATAGAATTATCAATCACGAAAAAATATGATAAGCAAGGAAAGATCCACTCACCTGGAGTCCGTGCTACAACTTCCTAGTACAAACATCGAGGCGTCACAAATGATCGGCACCTGTGACCAAGGCCAATTTGGCCTAGAAAGGCTTCAATTTCATCAAAACCCGTCGGAACCCTAGAATTGGGTGTGCTTCGATTCGACCTCCAAACGTGTTCCGACGCCTCCACCATTGCTTAGGTTTTGTTCCTGGGTTCTAGGGGTGTCTAGTGGTGGTAGCAATTTGCTGGATTACCTTCACGATCGTCGGATTTTGTCATGGCACCCTAGGAACCCACAGTTTCGTTCTACTCGAATTCAAGCTCAAATCCTATAAAATTTGATTGGAAATGGAAAAGGAAAGGACTAGGGGATGATTGGGAATGGTTTCTTGGTCCAAATTCGTGAGAAATCCAATGGAAAACCATCGGAAAATATGGAGAATTGGGCTGGGTGTACACGGGTCACGGGTTGGGTACCCGTTTCCCCATTTTTCTCCTGCTTTCCACTCTCCCTCATTTCTCTCCTTGCTTCTGCTTCTGATTGGGCAGTACCCATCCTTCTTTCTCCTTTCTCCTCTTAACTATCCATCCTGATTGTACAAATGGCAACACCAGATTTTTATTCAAAAAAATCTGGAGCCTTCCAAAATATTTAAATAACCATTTCATCTCCAACTTCGATCGTCAATAACTTCTTTGTTATAGCTCCAAATTACATTTTGTCTACGCCCCCGCGTCCGTAGCGCCGAGTACTACGAAGATATGCCAAGAAAATTAATCTTACGCGACACCACATGACAGTCCACAAAGGTCAACGCACTTGCCTCAAAGGGCATTTTCGTAAATTCACTTGCTAAAGTTATAAAAATCATAAATTTTCAGGGACGGGCTATTACACTTTTGCCATTTATTATTTCTTATTTTTACTTAGTTTTTATCCATTTATTCAATCAAAATGTTTAAAAAAATTTATTGTAACCGTTTCTAATTGTATTATAATGAGGGATTTTAAATTTATAGGATTATAAATCTCATAAAATATCAAACAATTAATGTCAAAACTATAAAAATATTAATATTAATTGTAATATAATGAGGTGTACAAAGTCAAGGGACTTTGATTAAACTTTGAATGCCATTAAGGTTTTAGTCAAAGAATGTTAAAGATTAGGAATAAGATCCCACATAGCCCAAGGGAGTGAATCTTGTAAGCCTTATATGTAAATTCCCATCTCTACCTAGCACGAGGCCTTTTGGAAGCTCACTGGCTTCGGGTTCCATCGGAACTCCGAAGTTAAGCGAGTTCGTACGAGAACAATCCTAGGATGGGTGACCCACTTGGAAGTTCTCGTGTGCGTTCCTAGAAACAAAACTGTGAGGGTGTGGTCGGGGCCCAAAGCGGACAATATCATGCTACGGCGGAGTAGGACCGGGGATGTGATGGGGGCCCAGGCCGGGATGTGACATTAGGGACGGCATCCAAAGTATACTTTTTTTTAATACAAAACTTATAGAAATGGCTATTAATAATTGGCGGTAGCCGACTCTAATTATAGGTTATGGTATTAAATCATAAATTTTAAAGCATTTCCCAGTAGCTTTGACCTCGTAATATAGCGACAATTAATCACAAAATTAAAAGTAATTAAGCGCTATTATCTTGGTTTATCGTACGTTAAAACTTGAAATTGAGCCGATTTGCCAAAAAAAAAAAACAAAGAAAAAAGAAAACGAAGCAATCAAGAATCAAGAAAATAAGCCCTTCAAGGACAATGAATTCTAAAACTTTTGATGACCGTTGGATCTCTTGCATGTCGCCATGTGTAGACCCTGAGAGGAGAGGTTACAAAAAGCTGGTTGAAACGGCTGGCGGCAGAATTTATAACACGTATCATGTAATCCCTTCACCATTTTTGCATGCTCGGCAACGGTCACATCCTCCTCAGTCTCTCTATATATGCTCTCGCATATTAGCAATAGCCAACAGTAGTCAGTTCTCACCAATCCCATCTCTATTTCTCTCTAGTTATAGTATAGGCTGTATTTTTCTGGAGGGCTTTTGTGAGTTCAGTTAATTAGTCTGTTCATCTGTTCAGCTGCAGAAAATGGGGTCTGAGAGACTATTTTTTAGCATTTTTCTTGTTATTTTGGTGGTGGCATTGGCAAGTAACTCTTCTCAAGCTTACAAGTTCCCTGTGGGTGGCAAAGATGGTTGGGTTTTAAACCCCTCCGAGAGCTTCAATCACTGGGCGGAAAGGCATAGGTTTCAGGTCAATGATACACTTTGTGAGTCTCTTTCTCCCTTATAATTATATCACGGATTTACGTAAGAATACGCACATATATGTATAAATACACACACACACACACACACCATATATATAAATTGAGCTTGTTTTCTTTTGTCGTTGTGGTGAATGCATATATACAGTTTTCAAGTACAAAAAAGGGTCAAATTCTGTGTTGGTGGTAGCAAAAGAGGATTACAACTCATGCAACACAAAAAACCCAAAACAGTGTTTAACAGATGGGGACTCAGTCTTCAAGTTCAACCGATCGGGACCATTTTTCTTCATCAGCGGCAATGCTGAAAATTGCCAAAAGGGTCAGAAGCTCATAGTAGTGGTTTTGGCCGTCAGAAACAAAACCCAACACCATACGGATTCTCCTTCTCCATCACCAGTAATTACTGATCCGCCTGCTGTCTCGCCATCTCCGGCGGCTTTGGAACCAAATGCACCAATACAGCCTCCGCAGCAGAATTCTGCACCGGGATCAGACGTTGCGTTAATGGTTTTCATATGTATAATTAGTATTGTTGTGAGTACTCTTGTTCTGGGTAACTTTGTGGCTTGAGAAACAAATTAGAGCGTTTAATTGTGTTTGTGGACAAGTTAATGTTTTTTTACGGGTTTGATTTTGAAATTTATTTGCAAGTCTCTCGAATTTAATATTCCAGTGGATAAATTTTCTGTCAGTAATCTCTCTCTCTCTCTCTCTCTCTCTCTCTCTCTCTCTCTCTCTCTCTCTCTCTCTCTTAAACTTCTGGTTAATGACTATAAACTACCATCGGATCATTACTTGAGTATGGATTCTTTTGAGAGCAACATGACAAATTTATCGAAACATTTTAAGGTAGAAAATTGTTTTTCTTTAGTGAAATAATTTTAAAATGAAACTAAAACGCTTCCACCATTTTTTTCAAAGCAAACAGCATAAGTTAAACTAATTTATTACGGGAGGTGATTTTTATACATTGCTTTTAGCTTTTTAAATACTCTTCTTTATTTTTGCCCGTTTGCATAAACGAACACAACAACAAAATAAAACAAAAGTGTGTTAAAAGCTAAAACGGGTGTGTATTTATCATCTTCTTTTTTTACTTTCCAATAGGGCTTAGGGTGTTATATTAAAAAGTTAAACTAAAGGGTTATATTAAAAAAATTAGTTTTCTTTCTTAGAATTATGAAGGCACCAGCCTTATTTCTCCACCCATTCTTTATTGTTAATTTTAAACATGTTAAACCTTTTGCTATAAGGCCATCACCTTTTATTCTTTTGTTTTTGTGTTAAATTTTTTTTTTTTTTTAATTATGAAAACTAGAACGATGTTAACTTTAATTTTTTATTTAAAAAAAATTGAAAATAGAAGAAACAAAAACAAGAGCCCAGCAAGTTGAAACCATCGCACACAACACCCACCAAGTTGAAACCATTATTTTCCTCATCTATTAATTATGTCAATTCCCCTCCAACCAATTCCCACTTTTCATCAAACATTACAATTACCTTAAGAAACCATACTCTTTTACTCTTTCTCTCATATCCATTAATAGTTTCGACAATCGGAGTGGAACTGAGCCCAATTCATCTAATTCACACGGTTTTGATACCCCTCTTCTTCGATTAATCCTCTACTTGAGTTGTAATTTCAAAGAGCAACTACAATGTCTATTGAGGTTGCCGCTCATTCTCGTAGTGTTGATAAAATTAGAGACAAAGTTTGCTGCCAATGAGAAGGGGGTTGTTTGCCATTGAGTGGGTGTGGGGGTCGGGTGAGTGGATATGTGGATGTGTGGTGGTGGCTATTTTCTTTGTAACGGATAGTTTAGGAATATATGTGGGTGGGAAAAGAGTGTTCTTTCCTTTTTACCTTTTGAGATGGGTGAGAAAATAAGGTAGAGTGAAGAAATAGAGTTGTAGGGTGGGTCTAGTACCTCTCATTATATATATCTAGCAAGACTCAAACAATTAATGTTAGAGGTAAATTCAGGCATGTTAATTTAGCTCCGGCATCAACATTGCTGTGAGTTCCTTATTAGCTCCGGCACTGGTTGTTGTGAGTTCCTTGTCCTCCCTACCAAGTGAAGCTCTCATTCTATTTCTCTCTCCCTATGGACCCCGAGTAGGAAGTGATGGATTGCCTCAATATAACTTTTGAGGATAATCTTGATTTGGAATAAAGATTTGACAACAACATCCACTTAGTGGGAAGACTAATTGCTGACAACGAACTGTCCCAAACGGTGGTAAAAGAAGTGCTCCGTTCAGCGTGGAACGAGATGGAGGTGGTCAAAGTCCAACAGGCCAAGGCAAATGTGTATGCCATTACGGTTGGAGAAGAAAATGTTGCAAGGGGGATACTGGAAGGAAACCCTTGGTTCATCAGGGACTACACTTTCTTAGTAAAACTATAGCCATCAATTCATTCACTTGATGCCATTGAAGCAGACCGTGCAATTTTTTAGATCTAAGCACATGGGATACCAAGGAATTTTTGTACTATGAAGAATGCTAGAAGTCTTGGGGCCAAGATTAGGGCTGTTCTTGAGGTTGAACACCCCATGGAAGCTAGGTTTAAGGGATTCCTGTGACTTCAAGTGGATCTCGATGCTTCAAGACCCTTACTTACCTATTTCTCGATCCCTTGTCTAAGGGTGAGAGATCCTACATAATCTGTCTCAAATATAAAGGACTAAGAATCTTCTGTTATCACTGTGGTAAACTTAACCACTCAAGGGGTTGCTCACGCCCTGCACCACCATCCTCAAATGGCGAAGGTCGTTATATAACGGCACTCCGGGCTGACCCTCTATCTAAGGCTAATTCTTTACTTTTCCCACCAAAGAAAACGGTCATTGGGACCGAAGCTAATGACGGCCACTGGCAACGTAAATAGGATGAAAGTGACGAAGGTTTTTATGGGTTACCGGATACGAAAATGGATATTCTGGCAACTAGGTATGCAGCTGATCAGATAAGGAAGGAACATGCCAACACACTTGGCACACAACCTGCCACGCGGCAAAAGTACGCTGAATATTCTGGTATGATCGTAGGTCTGGAATGACCGAACGTCCATCAGAAAATGACAAGACAGCTGAAGGGGACAAGTCGTGATGCAGAACGTCACCCAACCACACGATTGGACGTACGATCGGATTATGCCAACATGTGGCACCCAGATAGCTATAGTACCCAGTATATAAATGGCACACTAACAATTGTTGTTAATGGGCTTTCCCTAGAAAAAGACTAGTGTGACCCAAAACAAATCCCACCTTGGGCTTTGAAAAATGTGGGGGGAAGGGGGGCCTTCTTCAAACGGCTGAGAAGGTACAGGCAAGCCCAACAGGAATCCCAATGATGGATTGTTTCCCACCAAACACTAATAGGGCTGAAGTAGATGAACACAGTATCCAAGAGGTGACCAAATTCGTGAAGGCTACAATATTGTTATGTGGTAATGTTTGTGGGCTCAGATTCTAATGATGTAATCTCACCCACCAAAAAGAATAATGGAGTAAGTCGGGCTGACGTGGAGACAATAACACCATCGGCTAAAAAAACCAAAATGGGCATTAAATCCCAACAGCGGTCGCCCTTTCCATCTAGCCAACTTGAAAAAATGAACCCCTAAACCTAGAGACGATGGTTGGGGCAAGAAAGCTCATATGCGCAGTCAATCTGTAGCTGTAAGTGTGGAAGATGGGCATGGTCTGTGCGATGTGGTCATTAGTCCAACTCATAAATTAGAGGAAGCAAAGGAAAGCGGATTACTGGGAAGAGGAAGACCAACTACAAAGATGTTATCGGTGGAGGCTGACGAAGATCAACCCTGCCAACAGCCATGAATACGTTAGTATAAAACTGCGGAGGGCTTGGGAACCCTTGAAAAGTTCAAGCACTGCAGGATATTTTCTGGCAGAAAAGTCCCAAATTGGTTTTCTTGTGTGAAACCAAGTGTAATGTGTCTCTGGTAAAGGTTTTAAAATTGAAATTGGGGTTTAGCAAATATTTTGGCATCAACTCTCAGGGTCAATCGGGAGGACTTGAATTGTTCTGGAATGACGACATTAATCTAAGAATATTATCAAGCTCTTAATGATATATTGATTCAGAAATTGGAGGAATTGGAGATGAATGACACTGGTGCTTTACTGGGTTCTATGGTGATCTGATAATTGAGGAACGGAGTCAATCATGGGATCTACAGCGAGTCCTTGCTGCAGCCAGCTCTCTACCCTAGTTGATAAGGGGTGATTTCAATGAGCTCCTAGGTATATATGAGAATGAAGGAGGTATAGTGTGACCAATCAATCAGATTTTGGATTTTAGGAGGGCAGTTAATGATTGCCATCTTCATGATCTAGGTTTCATTGGTACCCCGTTTACATGAATAACCACTAGATCGGGATTTATAAAAGAGCGCCTTGACAGAGTTTTAGCAAATAATGGATGGAGGGATCTGTTCAATTGTGCAAGGGTATCCCATATGGACCCATCAAATTAGACCATGTCCCACTTCTAGTTGAAATTGAAGAGGTTCCAAACCAGAAGAGGCGTCGCCATCGATCTTTCCACTTTAAAAACTTCTGGGCAGACCATGAAGAGTGTGAAAGCATCATCCATAAAACATAGAACCAACCTATCAAGGGCGTACCAATGTATCAGGTGGTCATTAGGATCCGGGCTACCAGATTAGCATTGATCAAATGAAGCCATTATTTTTAGAGGCAGGCATGAGGAGATTACCATGGTTAGATAGAAATTGGGTTTCATCATGGCTCAACCACTCAATGATAGGGTAATTCCTAAACGGGAATCATTATTACTGCAGTTATACCTTTTACTAGGGCAAGAAGAGAAATACTGAGGACAGCGATCTCGAGCTCTGTGGATTCAGGATGGTGATCGCAATATGCGGATTTTCTACCAAAGGGCAAGAAATCTAAAGTTAAAAAATGCTATCAAACGCACCAGAAATGCAAATGGGGATTAGGTCTGTAATGTAGCAGGGATCGAAAACATAGTCACTGTTTATTTTCAAAATATCTTTTGTTCATCTAGAAGTTTGGATGGGACCGAGATCTTTGACGCCATTGATACACGAATAACCATGTAGATGAACGGGATGTTGGATATGAATATCTCTGATGAGGAAGTAAAAGGGCATGTGTTCCAAATGCAGTCGGAAAAGGCCCCTAGGACCGGACGGGATAAACCTTTTTGCCATCAGAAATCTTCAAGCTTTGGGTAAGCTGTTGAAGCAAATTAACTACACACATATCACATTCATCACCAAAACAAAGTGCCCGGAAGAAATGACCTAATTTTGGTATATTAGCTTGTGTAATGTCCTCTTTAGAATTATCTCCAAGGTTTTGGCAAACATACTCAAGACTCTCCGAACCAAAGTGACTTTGTACCAAGGAGAAACATATCAGATAATACCATCTTGGCCTTTAAAATTGCTGATTATCTCTTCAAGAGAATGAGGGGAAAAAATGTCTTTATCTCCCTGAATCTCGATATTAGTAAGGCGTATGACCGGATCGAGTAGGGTTTTCTACGGCAAATCCTTACCAAACTCGGGTTCTCTCAAAAATGGGTAAATCTC